TTTGGAATCCGTTCCAAGGAGGCATCTTTGTGCCATCTTTCGCAGGTCTCTATTAAGAACCAAATACATAACACTGTGACAAGTACCTGAATATTGAGAGTAAACGTGGCTTCCTAAAATCATGAATGAAATCACCTACCAGAGCAGAGTAGTCCAACTATGTAGAAGGGACCTACTGTCCCAAAAATAGAGTAGCCCAATAAGCCAATTGAACTGACGCCAATGCTTGGAAATGTGACGAACGTCAGAGAAATTAGAAGAGCTCCACCAGCTATACGGTTGGCCTGTATAGGTTGTTTAGAAAAGTGGTGAACGTTTGTTGCATCTAGTTTACCTGTCTGATTTTGCTCGCTCCATTGTCGGAATAAATATTTGCCGTTTTCGATTCAGACTGGATAAGCTTGAGCTTTATAATGAGGATAATTGTAAGAACTATTATGATACAACCCATTACCTGGAAACAAAAAGTACACTGCTTTGATATAGAAAGTAGATTGCAAACTGACTCACCACATTACTTATCCCCCAGTAGTGAAGGAAGTCTGTGCTAAGAAAACATCCCATCGCTGCACAATTTGGCGATTCCACGAAAGGTGAGAGTAGGAATTCCAGAACGAGATCGAGTGCGGCTAGCAGGAATCCAGTTATCAGACAAATCGATGTGTACAGGGAATAAGGCAAGTCGCGATAAGTCAGAGGGAAGAGTAGAGCCTTGAATATTATTTTGAAATACATTGCCCAAGGTAATGGACTGTTGGCTTACCAGTATTCGTTCGAAGGCTATAGATACAGTCAGCGTTAAATTCACTTTTAGTTGAGCTGTCAACGGAGCACTCGAGATCAATACATAATATGGATCGAGATCTATACGCGTGGGATTCCAGTTTACCAAAAGATAGATTGTGTAGGGAAGTGCTGAAAAAAATCAGTTAAGACGGTCTATATCTTTCATTTACCTGGACTGACTGTGAACCGAGTATAAGCTTTATGGCAAACTCCGCCCATTTCGGTGCGCGCCCACCCATTGGCTGTCTCTTGGAAGCGAATCGTTACTTTCATGGAGATCTCCGCCCACTGAGGTGCTCGCCACGCCCACCATCAACATTTAGTCTCCCTTCTTCTATAACCTCTCACCACTTTTCCCCGGTTTCTGGGACTTCTCTGAGACGAATTATGAGGACTCGCAATAAACTTTGCCCGAGGTCAAATTTTTCCATGCGAATTGCGCGTCAGTTCGCACCCTCAGGAGGTCCGTGGGTCCCTCAACTAGGTCAGTTTCCCTTTCTTCGACCTTCATTCTAATCGTGAATTCCTCCTTTAAGTTTTACCCTTCTGTCATAGTACATACTCGCCGTTTCTACTCTAAATCTAAGGTTCCCATCAAGTGCTATCCATTGCTTAGTTTTCCGAGAAGTTTCCATTGTGTGTGAGCAAAACAAAGAAGCTCTACTGTCGCGAAAAGGACAGTGAATCTGCAAGTTTACAAAGAACTCATCGCTACTTCCGGGAGTCCTCATAGAGGCCTCCACATGTGCTAATTTGATTTCGCTATAGACACCTATCAATGCGAATGAAATGCAAGAAGTAATCGGTGTGGGGGGAGGTGGTAATGCGATCATATTTAGCATCATATTTCGCGCTTACAGTGCTCTTCTTCTCAAAACAATAGGAAGAGCTCGCCTGAGCTATCTTAAAAGGTTTTCCGCTATGTAGCGCAAATATTTTTGATGGCGCTCATTCCGCTTTCACTGAACTATTCAATTTTTCAGGTTCGTTTTGTAACCTCTATTCCGTCTGGGTGCTGATAGGTAGAGGAACTGGATTTAGCGCATGTACGCTGCCTTCTGCAAAATCTGTTTGCATAACTCCAGTTCTGGAAGATCAAATGAGCAGCTGCCCTTCAAGTTCTCATCCATTGGATATTAGCGGATACTAAATGATATTCAAGTAACAGACATCAGCTAGCAATGGATGTTATCTTATACGTTTCTTCAAGGAGTAACAAGTTCGAAATTTTGAGGGTGGCTATCAGAATACCGTATACATATGTTACATCGATGTGTTATTTAGAGCGAGTAAACTACGGAAAACCTTCAACCTGAAACTTCTAGTTTTCCTATCGGCTGCAGATTTTCTTCATGGCTATAACAAGTGAGGTTTGATTTGTTTTTGTTTCGTTAACTGCTGTTTTTGGCCGCAGTTCGCCTTGCGAATGTTTCACAAGAATGCTGGGTTGGAACTCAACACGTTATACGTGTGAAAGCTGATGGTACGTATACCATGAAAAGCTGAGTTGGGATGAAATGGTGTCCCGGGTTAGTAGCGCGCACTGCCGCGAAAGCGAGAGTGCGGTAGCTAGTCCCGGCCTGCCGGGCGGAAAACTTTTGTTCACAGACCAAGGTGAAAGACACTGTCGCAAAAGTGAGGTTTGATTTCTTTTTATAAACGGCATTTAGGAAGGAGGAACGTCAAGACAGAGCTCCACGCCCTCATTCCTCCCTCCTTCTCTGACCCCTCTTATTCCATTGCCTGGGTTGCTCTGGTTCCTATGAAATCTAGATCAATTGTACCTACAATTGTATCCTCAGCCCTTTGTTTTGCATCTAAGTGATTAAACCAGAGATCTGCACACATCACCAATAACACCCTTATGAAGGGGACTGCGGAAGGAGAATCATTGAATATTCTTTATCGTTGGCGTTGAGTAGTTTTGCTAATACAGTACAAGCTTTCCACTTCAATGCCAACTCCGTATTAGCGAAGAGTATTTTTCTCAAGTTATTAATCTATCAGCACACCTCCGACGACCGTAAATATTATTATTTCTATTAATCTTCGGAAACGGGCGATGCTGCCAATTACATGAAGGGTCTCACAATGTATTAGAGTTCTCCCATAATGTAACACTTATAAATTCGGTCTGAATTTTTTTTTTTTTATGTGGAGTCTTTGCCCATCCAAACAGCACCCTGTGTCATCTACAATGTATTGCCTATACAAGGAAATTTAGTCGCTGTCTTATCTCTAGAATTCCAGGAGCTATTGATCGAAGAAAGATCGGAAGTCGAGTTTGAGGTCATGTCACTTAGCGTAAAATTCCTCTCCTGGGGAAGAGCGCCAGGCCAGGGTGAAAATCGTGTCGAGTACGTGGTCGCAGAGGTACGACCCCCCCCCCCCGAAATCGAGATCCTGGCACGACCCCCTCTAACAGAGCAAATTAATTCAATTAAAATAAATCCTGCAAAACAAAAATCAAAAAAAAATCAAAAATCAAAAAAAAATCTGCAAAATAATGCTAAGGACGCTTCATCTTGTCATCTATGCACGTCTTCCATCGCTGCATACTTTTGTGTACATACTGAAATATCGACTCGAGGAAAGAGGCATTAACTTTGTGTGACCTCAAGGCGAGGTTCGTTCAGAAACGCACAGAAATCCTGAAGACACGGGGTTGCGATTCAATCTTGATTCTTGCTTGAGTATATCAAAACAGCCGAGTGTATCAAAGGCCGATTCAACGGCAGCTGCGGCGCGATTGTCACTGGGTCAGATTTGCCGAAATTTCAAAAAAAAACGTCCGAATCTACACCCTCGATGAAAAGGTTGCATTCCTCCATTTCACAACCTTTGAAGCAGCTTGAGGTAGAGTTAGATAGAGCTGGATTTCGCGTTTCCAACAAGCATCGAAATTGCTCTGGAAGCCTTCCTTGCAGAAAGATAGGGTCTGTCAAATTTCGTCGAGTAAATGTCGAGGAGGCCGAAATTTTCACGCGAGTTTTTGCCACTTCAAGAGCAATATATCTCTTATATTGTAAGATCCTGAAAAAGGGAAGATAGTTTTGGAAAGCGGAAGGTTTGCGCTTCCTGATGGTCTGTTTAGTTTTCTTCTACAGCTTTTTGGTTGAAGAGATAATTGCGTCGAGGATCTATCGAGGTCGGATCCGGCCACCTGGAAATCCGCTCCCTCATTCACCATTGCAAGTGTGACTCGTTGGCAACACTCGGAATGTGTCTAGAACAATATCTTTGAACGCAAACAATAAGAATAGGAGCAATCGTCATCATCCGATTTGGTATTGGTATAAGCCATGCATCCCTCCTCCACTCACAGTTGCAGAATCGATTGAAAGGTGTTATATGATGGGGACCTTCGAACGAAACTGTATTGTAGTAGACATAGTGTGTTGTGCTATTCCTGTAACCTAAAAACAACTTCATTTGCCCAGCGCTTTTTCTTCACGGTTGTCGTTTTTCCGACAGGGTCCCTAACAACAGCGTCATTCTCAGCGAGGTATTAAGGGAGAAGGAGCGAGTGATAGGCGGAGGAGGTGCCTTTGCAGCGCGTGCGCACATGTGGCACTCTTCTTTGCGGGGATGCACTTTCATTCTTTGTACTGCCTTCAAATACGCCCTTCTCATGAAGGTGGAGGAATGGAGCGACTGAACCTGCAAAGAAAATTTAATATCATGTTTTTTTTCGGATGTTTTCATTTTCTGCTGCGCTATACCCTATTACCTATCTGCACCATGATACCACTTCTGTTACTGACCCCAAGAGTACGACCCCCATGGACCAGCCCAACAGGTACGACCCCCCTGTCGAGGATTTCCTCGACCGATATTCACCCTGGGTCGGACTAAGTTGTCTCTTGCTGGCGCGAGGACAGGGCCACAGGATGTGAACAAACTGCTAAGCCTGAGAGTCTTAATATTTGATGTGCCGCTCAAGGTGGGATCGAACGACCTCAGAAAAAAAGCAGACTTTGTCTTGCTTTACTTTCAAATTGAACGCGTCGCCATTACGCTGTAGAGATGTTGATCTTCTTCAGTGACTCTAGTATTACTGGGCGGCGGTTCCCAGCGCATGGTCACTCTCGTGCTCCACCAATATCTCTGAAGGGTCGGACTAGAAGAGGTTCGGCTTTTGCTGTCAGAACTCCCGAATCCCTTCATGCTAGGCTGCTGCTTGTTGGAGATTTGCTAGTACACTCCACCCAGTCCAGAACCCTGGTGAATATGCTGGATGATCACTGTAAGGAACTAAGGGAGATCAGAAGGAACATGATGATGTCAGATCGTGTGTGGAGCTGTTTCGGGCTCAGAGCATACAAGATACAAACTAAATATTTTAAAATCTTTACAACTCTACGTAGATGTCTACATTCCATCATTTTAATAAGCCGGACATGCTCCAGCAAATGGCGACAAGTTTGTCCAGATCCACCCTCAGTGGCGCTTTTTTCCTTTTTGGGGAGGTACAGCAGTGAGATTGCCAGTTGAGGGGTAGTTGGAGTGTGGGTCATCTTCAACTAAAAAAGCCAACCTCTCGATAGAGTGAACTACAAGCAGACCGTGGATTGAGGGAGCGTGCCCTCGCCTATCTGCTGGTTGATTCTCTATGTTGTTGGGCGTTTGAAAGATCCTAATCAGAAGTGATTAAGAAGGGAGCTTAGCAAATTATAGGTTAAATAATTACTCCTTAATGTGAAGGTGTGTAGCGGGTAGGGTGAATATCGTAACAGAACACTATATAGGCTATTTATTAGATATAATATAAGGTGAGGAACAGGGTCGTTGAGCGGGGTGAGTATGGTCAGGGTTGGACCATCACTCCCGAGTTCCGGCTAGCCAGCGCCAGCCTCCTTCGATACCGTAACCTGGGCCACGCCCCTTCACAGTGGACGTGGACCCGACATCTCCATTCGTTCGAGTGAGCTCGTCCTCGAGCTCTTAGCATCTTTCTAGGCGTGTCTGTCGGGTCCACGTCCACGGTGAAGGGGCGTGGACCCGACAAGCTCAAATATAGGTTCCAGCAAAATTGAAATATCAGCCACGGAAGGCAGCATGTAAATGGGCTGAGTAATTGCTCTGGAAGGTTGATAACAATAAATGTAAAGAGATTCACTAATTATG